TTGGGGTTCTCTAATATGGTTTTTGGATTGTATTTATAAATAGGGTTCAAAAGTGTTTATTAGGTTCTGTTGGTAGGCTAGTTTTTGGTGAATAATACTTGCAAATTGATCAAGTCTGAGTTTGTAATCTGTTTGGGCTATTGTTTTACACGCACTCGTAATGTGTTGAATGCTTTCTGAACAACTGTTGCATTTTCTACACGTATCAGAAGCTAAGATTTTTATAATATGCTCTCGGTAGTATTATTATTAACTCGTTGGTCTAGTGGTTGTAGTAGTGCGACTGTTGATCATGAGGTCCTGGGTTCGAATCCGGGGTCGGGCCAAAAAATTAATTATTGAGTTTTTTCGTCAAGAAATTCTCAGTAGCTGGTCTCCCTCGGGTCATGCCGGTTTACCGTCTCATCGGATTATTAGGGTGAGGGAATAGAGAGTGCACCTGTGCTTGCGCATACACTGGGCACTATAATTCTATCGTGCGCCGTGGCCGAAATTCGGTCTGGAGTACATTATTATTATTATTACCGTAAAAAATAGAAACAATGCGTGATGTGTAAAGAAATAATTTTATTTTTCAACTATAAATTTTTACAAGTTACTTACAGGCTTAACTTATAATTTCATTTCTATATAAATATTCATATTTAGTCAATGTTTCGGTACGTAGTACTAGTATTTATTCTGTGGTTTCGTTTCTTTATTCGTTCCCATGTATTTAATATAAAACTTAAATATGTACATACTTTGGCAACAAATAATATTACAAAACATCGAGCATAAATAAAGGTGGTGTAAAGATATTCACTACCACATATCGTTTCATGGAGTCTTAAGAGACGACGGAAGAAAACAAATCAGCAGATGGGCAGCAGCGTCTGCCAAATGAGGCAGCTACAATGATAAATATTCGTGAGGCATTATGAGTCATTATGAGGCAATCAATGAAGAAGACTTTTAATAGGATGTAACCACTACCTGGCAAGAGGACTGTGCTCTGTGGCATTACTCGGACGAGGCCTTTGTTCAGCCGTGGACTTGTGAAGAGTTGTAAAGATGATGATGATGAAGGTAATGAAAGAAATAAAATCATTTTGGTATTAGCCGTATGTCGGCGACAAATTATGTTAACCCATCTTATACATGATTCTTGTAAACCACTTTTTAAACAGTTAAAAATTATGACACTTTGTTGCATGTACGTGTATGAAATTGGAACGTTTGTAAAGAAATATCCACATTTATTTCAAAGATGCATTGATAATTATACAGATAAAACATTTCCGCATAGAGATGTAAAAAACGAAAATGTAAAACTGTCTTTTACCCGAAGAGTTGCCCCAATATGTATATAAAAGTATATAATAAAATCCCCAGTGATATTCGAAAATTGCCATTTAACTTTTTTCAAAAAAACATGAAGCGATGGCTAATTTAAAATTGTTCTTATTCCCTAGATTAATTTTATTGTTATAGACCAAAGTGATAACTCACACAATCTTGACTTGACTTGACTGTTGACATGTACATCTTAACTTGACGACATTTTTTATTTTTTTATTTTTATTTTATTTTGGCATTAAGACTGGATCAATTTTGTATTATTTCTTGTTTATTGTTAACCTCTATGTATATGTGTGTTATTTATCTTGTGACATTTTATTCTTACATTTACCACGAAATTGTAATTAACCATAGATATTCGCTGAACATTTATATAGCACTAGGCCGACAATTATAAAATTACGAGTATATATTTGCATGCCATTGGCGAAATATGATTGTACCATACCAAATTATTAATCCTATAACTACCATATTTCTTGCAAATAAATTATTATTATTTTTGTTATAGTTTATACGTTTTCTCAGTTTGTTTTTAACAAAACTAGATTAATGGTTATTAGCACGGGACAAAGCCAAGTGGGTACCATGAACTTGTTTAGTTATGGGTAGTTTTCTGAAGGGATAAATTTTCTAACTATTCTACAAGTATTAAGTAAAACTGCTTTTTGAAATTAAACATATGTAAGTTTTGGTAAATCTAAAGTTTTTAATGATTGATGAAGCCCTTTTGGTATTACACCAGTAGTAGAGAGGACTATAGGGACTATAATGGCGTTATGTAAATTCCACATTCTAATAATTTCATGTTTTAATTCACTGTACTTGGAATTTTTTTCATTAATTGTTGCCTGTAAGTTATGTGAATTAGGTACAGCAATGTCAATAATAAGAGCACATTTATTCGCTTTGTCTATTAATGTTATATCCGGTCTATTGAATTGTATTGTTTTGTCGATAAGTATAGCTCTGTCAAAATACATTTTGTGAGTGATATTTTCAAGGAATATTTTTGGTTTATATTTATAGTATTATTATTATATGATCACTTATATTATTACAAAACTATAATATTATAAATATAAATACAATCTATATAAATAATATTATTATTTCGGCTATTATCCACCGCGGCGAGGAATTCTAAGCCATCGGTGAAGTTAGGCATCCAAAGATAGGAACCTTCTTACTATTCGAGCCGTATTTAATAAGGCCGATTTTTGAATTAATGCTTTCAGCCATTTGCCCAAACCTAACTTGGACAGATAATCGTCCATATTTTTACCAATAAGTCCATTGGCTGAAACAACTATTGGTACAATAATAGTAGAATCAACGTCCCACATAGCGACAATCTCATGAGCCAAGTCGATATATTTTATTTTTTTATCATTCTCTGCTTTTACGAGATTCTCGTCATGGGGAACACTGATATCCACTATTATTGCCTTGCGTGTAGTTCGGTCTATCACCACAATGTCAGGTTTATTTGCCACTATAAACCTGTCTGTGATAATTGACCGATCCCAGTACAGTGTGACACTTCTATTTTCATATATATATATAGTATTATTATTATTATTATTATACAGTCGGTGTTGTAGAAGTGACTTATGGAATCGGCCGTAAAAATAAGCTTCAAAATCTTAGCTTACGATAGATGGCGGTAGTGTCACTTATCATTAACTTCAAGATCTTATATTTTTTAACTATTATAAGAGGTAATACAACTAAAGATGGAAAGGTCTTTGACATAACAAAAGCCTATTCACTCTTGCCTTGCAGACCACCAGACCTAAATTGCAATCGGATGGAAAAGCAGATACTGACAATTTATTCCACTCCTTTGAATTTCCACAAAGGATGTAACAAAACGTTTGTTTTCTCCTTTCCGTAAGTCGACAACGAGAGCACAGACACTAACAATAATTGGTCATCGAAGGCGTCTAGGCGGGATAATCGTGCGGTGCGGTGCGGGGAAAGACGCGGGTGGAGCGGGCGCCCTTTAGCCGCTCGGCATTATCCGCTAGGGTTGTCCGCTAGGGTTGTCCGCGAGGGTTGTCCGCTAGGGTTTTCCGCTAGGGTTGTCCGCTAGGGTTTTTCGGTCACGCAAATAAATTAAAACGGTTCAACCTACATGTGGGCACAACCAAATTGTGGGTCCTACAACTTATTTTTATTATTTCTGAATACTTATTACCTATTTCATTTGTTTAAGCGTGCAATAAAATCAGTTGTTTATTTTTTTCTTATTTCCCACTCTAACAACCCTAGCAATTTACTGTTTATGTCGGCTTTTACGACAACATCAAACGCGATTACTGACTGTATGTTTGTTCTTAGGCTGTGACAAAATGGTGGACACACAACAGAATTATCATTATCATTATCATCATCATTATCTAATATTCTACGCTGCTGAGTAGCTTGTCTAAAAGCATTAAATTTACACAGATAATTCTATAATTACAAATTCACTTTTTAACAACATATATTCTCTAGTTGATTCAACTTATTAACTAATATTGTATTTGGTAACAATATTGTTTATAGGATAGGGTGACAAACGAGCACACAGTCTACCTGATGGTAAGTGGATTCTGTGGCCCATAGATCTACATCTATCCTCGATTACGAATCAAAATGCAGATGCATTGTCACCCGTGAGGACTAAGATGGAACACCTCGTTTCCAGTAAAAAGGGTCCCCGGTTCTCTACACTTACCATACGAAACACAGCAGCATTAAGTTACTATTTTACTCCGGTATTCTGTGAGAGCGTGGTCCTTCCCTGGTCGAGCTGACCTATTTATGATACAACTATAATACTAGATAATATTACTGCAGCATGGCTCTATCACGTATAAATATATATCCACTGAAGACTAGATGGCTGACTTTTTTCCCGCCTAAAAACTAACATTCAGTCAGGAAACGTCTTTAATCTATGTTGTTTAAATGTTCAAAAAAGAAAAAAACAACGTTTACTTTTTAATTTTACAGCGAATAATTAATTTCTTAGGCATGTAATAGCTGTTAACGGTAAATATGATAGACGGTTGCGCGAAGGGATAACATCCAACGAGGAACAACAGCCAGTGTTTTGTCACTATATCGCGTGGAAAAGTATTGTTTGAAAAAGTATTATAGTTTAGAGCATACCTGTAGTTATAACTTTTTTATTGTAATAAATATTATATTTTAAAAATCGTATTAATTTCCCCTAGGTAAGGCTTACTACTTCTACATCTAATCAATAGAATCAGGCGTTACCTTAAATAAAATGATGTGTCTTACCTAGTTTTACAAGCACCACTAACCAGCAGTCTTCCCCAATTGCGTGTACTATCCTCGTCACCACTACTCCCAACAATATAAAACTACACGTGTTTCGCCTCTACACTAATCCCCAGATGTAGTAGACTCTGCGGTGGCTGACTACTAAGCGGTCACTGACCGTAGTGATGCTGGAATTAGTGGTGACGGGGATAGTGCACATATTTGAGGAAGAGCGAGAGGTGTTTTTCAAAGACACATCATTTTTTTTATTACGCGGAAGATACGTAAATAAATGTTTTAACATCTTTTATTTCTACATCTAATATTATAGAGATCATGTCGTAAGTTACCTGTTACATTTATAACTTACTTTTCTAAACCTACTTATCCTTACTGTCACTCTTATCTTTATTTCTATTGTTACTATTCTTGCCATCATCATCTTTAGCTTGCGCTGGTGCGATCATCAACAGATTATTTCCATTTCGTTCTGCAGCCAAATTCCTGAAGGGTACATTCTGCCTCCATTTTGTAGGAAAATAATATTGGGTCCTCAAGATTTTCAGATGATCCTTCCCGAAATAATATTCTTTATTGCAACTCGCGTTCCGATGTATATTTCTTCGTAGATTTTCTTCATTCTCATCATTGCCATATTTAACGCAATCTCCGTCAGTCAATTTCGGTCTTTTGGCATCTTCGTCAAAGAACGGTCTTTTGAGACGGAGATGTCTAGACTGCGGACTAATTGGTGATTCACATTTCACAGCAAGATCAGAGTTTTCTTTATTTGTCAGAAGACCGTGGTTCTTCTGCCATTCCAATACTTCGCAGAGAAGACCAATGTACCTACAAAGATAGTTTAAACTTAGGAGCCTATTAGAATACCTTCTTAGTCTAGCTATGAAATTAAACATAATTTCTATAAAATAATGAATATTGAAGTTATAGTGTCGGCACTATACCATAAAATTGCAATAGAGTATCTGTGAGAAATGTTTGAAGAATCGTTTGGTGGTAAGAGACATGCAATTGAATAATCTTCTAAATATATAGTTATGTATAGTATATATTTGCTTTGTACCGATAGGTTCCGGGTCACGCGGGTATTGCAGGCAATGAACTTGCCGACAATCTCTCACGGGAGGGCTCAAAGAGTATTTTAACCCGAGCCATTTTGTGGAATCTTAAAAAGCCTAGCCCGATTGACCCTTGAAATTCTTTATTACCATAAAACACTTAAGATCTGGTCTGATACGTATAAATATTAATATTTATATGTATCAGACATATAAATATGCCTAAAATATTCTAAAACCTTAATACGGGCTTTTGATTGTAAAAATGCGTCAGAAGCCCTGGGATTATGTAAAACTAAACTGCGCATTCTGGCAAGAGCTCTGACTGGACTGTTGTCTTAAAAACACATGACCATCCTGAGACTAAGCAACTCAAGGATGTATTTTGCTCCTTTACAGAAGAAACGCATCTGAACATCCAAACTGATTTCGAACTCTTAATGCACAAGCGTAACACTCATCTGGGAAACTATATACACCGCTCAGAAATGAAATTGCTCACAGCTAAGCAACTCCTTCTATTCATTGAAGAAATAGGGCTTAGCAGTGAACAGTGAACTTAACAGCCACAATAGATCTTTTAGGTCGCAGTGATACTGGTCTTTTTAGAGCTATATAGCTGCTCGCACAGAAGAAAATATAAAATAAAAATATGGCTTTGTATATGTCGTAGGCAGATTGTACTATTCATCTTTACACAAATGACGTCGTCTGTTTGCAAACGCTTGGAATGTCGAAGGCAAATTGTAAAGTGCTTCCTCATTTTGTAATAGTCCATGTCGTATTCGTAGTCCTATAGTTCAGTAGGTTATAGTATGACCGGGTTATATAAATATACATTAGGTATATGGTACATTTTTATATCTTAAATAGACCTGCCCATTTCTAAGATCGGATGAAGACATATCACTTTGTCTTTAACCAGGCGGTGATTAAATGTAGACAGCACCGAAGGCTGGCACCTTATTTTCGCCCCTCTGGTACTTTATAAATTTATGTAAATATGTTGGTTACCTACTTATTTATTTTTGCTTAAAAACTCATGCTTAATTTGCCTTAAGGATCTTTCGCCACTGCCTTTGACATTTCACAATCCGATACAATATGCTGACGACATATACATCAGGTGAAATTGATATTGTGGAGTGAAATTGAAAAGCGAAATGGTATGAAAAAAAAACAGTTTTCATTAAATAACTTATAACAAGGCTATTACCTGATAGCCATCCTCAAGATCTCATTCTTCGACAACTTTTTATCAGGTGGATGAGTTGGCACGAGTCTTCTAAGTTCTGCAAACGCTCCGCTAACGTTCTGCTGCCTCCAGCGCTCGCGGCAGTTGGTGAAGAGTTTACGAGGTGGTCGAAGTAAACAGGAATTTAGAGGTGTAATGTCTTCTGAGTGATTCTGTTAAAAAAAATTGTCTTTTATGTAAAAAAACTCTTTAAAAGATAGCATGAGAAACGAATACACAGCTAACCTGATATTAAGTGGATGCTGTGGTCCATAGATACCTTTATCCTATATCTATCCTCGATTTATGCCCCCTCTACACTCTCGCGCGATTCACGCCGTGAATTCACGCCGCGTTTTCCGCCGTGAACTTGGTGTTCCTCTACACTCGCGAATGCGAAGCTGCGAAATCACCTCAACCGCGACTATAGAAGCGCTTTAGAATTAAAATGCAGATGTGTTGATACCTCTGAGGACTAATATGAAATGCCTTGTTTCTCTCAGGTCATCATTTACCAAATTGAACTCATATTGCTGCTATTTCACACGCTGATATTCGGTGTTAGCGTGATCCTATCCCAATCGAACTTACGGAGCTTAAAATTTCGTGGCTCTATCACGTAACAATTCAGCAATCTTGGATACTAAACAATAGTTTCTATACATGGTAGAGCCACGCTGCAGTTACATTATGGTTATAGCACGAATGGGTTGGCTCGACCGGAGAAGGAACATGCGTAAAATAGCATCTCAATACTGCTGTGTTTCGTATGGTGAGAGTAGAGATCCGAAAAACGAGGCATTCCACCTTAGCCCTCAGGGGTAACAACACATCTGCATTATGATCCTTAATCGAGGATAAATGTAAATGTCTATGGGCCAGAGCATCCACTTACCATCAGGTGGATCGTGTGCTCGTTTGTCAACCTTATTCTTTAAATAAAAGTTTATTGTCAGAATAATGAAGAATGTAGACGGAGAAGGCAATGCTTGAAATTTCTCTACGTGCTAAAATCCGTCCAATTCAGGACATTTGCAGACAAACATGAGCCACTCACATAGAACAACAGGTTAGTAGGCTGAAATAGGCTTCTGGCAATGCGCCGGCCACATAGCTTGAAGAAACGACAACCATTAGGGAAGTAAGGTCTCTAGTGGTAACCTTTTACTAGCAAGCACAGTGTTAGGTGATTTTCAATAAATGAAGTGGCGACCTGATAAAATAAGCAGGTGGTTGATGAATACCGATGGCTTAGGTCTGTACTTTATGGCAATTTACGTGGTAGAGCCATGCTGCAGCAACATTAATTGTACATTTGTAGCACGAATGGGTCGGCTTGACCGGGGCAGGAACACACTCTCACAGAATCTCACAGAGCGTTACATAGCAGCGTAATGCTACCGTGTTTCGTATAGTGAGTGTAGAGAAGCGGAGACCCATTTTACCGAAACCCAGGCATTCCATCTTAGTCATCTCGACCTGCACTGCAGAATTGTGTCCTCTAACACAGTTCTGCATCAGTAAGAGTGTTTAGCAACAATGTTTCTCCCCTATTACGGATTCTAAAGAACATTCTGACGTTCTAGGAATAAACGAATTTATGGCTATTATTATAGTCTTCTTTTTCGTCATAATCAGCGCGTAGAAGTACACAGCTGAATAGGCCCTTGCTACACATGTGTCGTTCATTTATTTCTAGTGACCCGATCATTCAAGTTTTGATTCTTCTTACCATCTGAATCATTCGGGTATATCAATCAAACGAATAATTTAAAGTACTCTATGATCTGGGAGACCCGCTCGGCTAATGTCGGTCGTCGGATATGAATATACTCTTGTTCCTAGGTCTATGAAGTAACCTATGGGGAAGACCTGTTCAGCAGTGGACTTTTATAGGCTGTAATGGGTGGATGGAAAGGAGACGGTTACACCGTAATCTAACGGAAGCTATATCTTTGTGTCATTCTTCACGGTACGATTATCTTATATACGTGGTAGAGCCACGCTGCAGCTACGTTACGGTTGTAGCACGAATGGGTCGGCTAGACTGGATCACGCTTTCACAGAATACCAGCGTAAAATAGCAGTTCAATACTGCTGTGTTTTGTATGGTACTCACCACTGTAGAGATCCAGAGACCCTTTTTTATTAGAAACGCGGCATTCTATCTCAGTCCTAAGGGTGACAACGCATTTGCATTTTGATTCTTAAGCGAGGATAAATGTAGATATCTATGGGCCACAGCATCCATTTACCATCAGGTAGGTTGTGTGCGCGTTTGTTACCCTTATTCTATAAAAATAAATACTACCTTCATTTAAATAGTTTACCTGGACGCTCCTGACAGTCTGTCTGTCGTCATCGCTGTCTTGCAGACACAAGTCGTCACTCAGCATTTCACTATCCGGCTCCTCATCCGTTGACTCCTGGTCTGATGCCATCGCTGATGGGTACACTAGTGAAGATACATAATCTATTTAATTATATCACATTTCTGTTTGATAAATCAGTACTTAAAATTGCAATTTATTTGCCGTCGGGGATAATACATTGACTTTTTTACAGAAAAGAGGGCAAACGAGCATGCGGCTCTCCTGATGGTAAGTGTCGACCGCCGCCCTATAATAGCAGCAACATCAGGGAAATTGCAAGTGCACTGCTGGCCTTTTAAAAACGAGTGGGCTCGTTTCATGAAGGTCCCTAAGTCGTATCGTATATGGGTTGCTTGCGTACTATACATACTATGAAATTTGTGAACAGGGCTAAATCTCTAAGCTCTCACACCATATTTACTATATGCTCGGCGATAAAGAAAAATGTCATCAGAAACTAGGTGGTAGGACTTTTTCTCTGCCTAGAAATCTGCCTGGATAGGTCTATCCCCTTCTTCTACCTATTTCTGTCGCAAAGCGGCAATGAGTGCACTGCTCTGTTCCGGTCTGAATGACAAAGAGAAACAGTTTAATTAATGGCTGTGAGGTATTCCATCTTAGTCACATCTGTAGCAATTCGTGAAGTTAAAGAAGCGTCTATAAACTGCAGTAGCCACTTATGATCAGGTGTAGGTACTGTAGGTACGATTTTCACTTTTGTTTTATTAAAATACATTTTTTCATAGAATAAGGGTGACAAACGAGCACACAGTTCACCTGATGGTAAGTGGATGCTGTGGCTCATAGAAATCTAAATTTTTCATCAATTAGGAATCAAAATGCAGATGCGTTGTTAACCCTGAGGACTAAGATGGAATGCCTCGTTTTCAGTGAAAAGGGTTTTCGGTTCTTTAAAATCACTGCACGAAACACTGTAGCATCAAGCTGCTATTTTATGCTGGTATTCTGTGAAAGCATAGTTCTACCCGGTAAAGCAGACCCATTTGTGGTACAACCATAATATAGATGCAGCGTGGCTCTAACAAATACAACATGTGGAATCCTTCAACATGCACAAGAGCAGTGCGACGGACTAATCAATAGCCTGGGTCCCCAAATCACGATCTTATCTAACTAGTCAAGTTACAGCCTACATACGTCGCAATTTTAGCATACCTTTTATTTCTGACCGACAAAAGGTATGTGTGCCCAAATAGCGACGAATCTAAGTTGTAACTTTATTAAATTAATACTTTTGTGATCGAGTGGACCAGACGATCGAGTAAGGTTTACCATTCTGTATGTGACTGCTCCAATCTATAAAATAAGTAGAAATAAAAATAAGAAGTAAAAATCTTACAACTCATACAGGAACTCGAAATGAAGACCAACAAATGTGTTTATTCACGATCAACCATTCACGCCCCTACTATAATGACAACTGCATAGAACAGTCCTGGACCACAACGATCCTACTTCACCCAGCATGATAAGTTTTTTTTACAGAAGGGGGGGGGGCAAAACGAGCACGCGGCTCACCTGACGGTAAGTGGCCATCGCGGCCCATGATACAACTGCTACACCATTGGAATAGCAGCCATTTGAAAAAGGGTAAACGCTTTCTTTGAAGGTCTATTATAAGTCATATCGGACCGGAAAAATCGCTCGTGGTATTCGATTCCGCAAGGAAGTTGAGCGAGACAGAAATCTTCTTGTAAACCGCACAGTGGGTTGGATCGCCAATCGTCCAGATGCAACATCTCTTCGCTCTGCTGCATGGCCGGTGTATAAAGCATTACCAGTGCTGTCATCCACATACCAATGAATGTCACCGGTTTGCAACATATCATTGATATGCAGAAGAAACAGCGTTGGTGATAGCACGCAGCCTTGTGGAACGCCAGCATTAATAGGCTTGTGATCGGAGCGTGCACCATTTACTACAACCTTTATGCTCCGATCCGCAAGAAAACTGGTGATCCAATTGCGCAATTTCTTAGGAAGCCCATAAGAAGGGAGCTTGGAAAAAAGCACTCTGTGTCAGACCCGATCGAAAACTATCGTCCAAACTTACGGCCAAGCCCTCTCCCTTGGACTCTACTGCCTCCGCCCATCTATGATTCAAGTAGATTAGAAGATCACCAGCTGATCAAACCTGACGAAAAGCGTATTGACGGTCATTAATCAGCTGGTGATCCTCAAGGTACCTCATGAGCTGACAATTTATAACGGAATTCATTATTTTGGAGAACAAGGAGATGATGGCGATAGGACTACAGTTAGACGGGTCTGAATGGTCGGCTTTTTTAGGGATCTGGCGGACCAAAGTTGTAGTCCAAATGAAAGACAGTTCATGATTTCGGGACTACCTCTAGGAAGTAGGAGTACCGGAGAAGACGCTATAAAACCGGTGCCAACTCCGGAGCACACGATTCGACTTGTTGATGTTCAAGGAGAGGAGTGTTTTGCGCTCCGAGCGTTGTGTAAACAGCACATCCTGCATGGAGCAGTCATACCGCGGGGTGGTCGGAGGTAAGTTCTCCCTGTCATCGAGCGTCGAGTTGAACGCAAAGAGAGACCCTAGCAGATTGACTTTTGCCGCATGGGCCAATGAGAGAAGTTTCCTTCGACAGCCTTGGCGAGAGACCAGAATGCACGGGTTCCAGAAGGAAGGCGATCTAGTTTCTCGTCAATTCTGCCTATGTGCTCTGACTTTGCCTTGGCAATGACTCTTTTGAAGGACATGAAGGCAGAATTATGTATCTTATAGTAAGATATTTTTAGTAAGATAGTTGTATTGTAAGGTATGTAGGTATACCAGTTTCTTGACTCCATAGAGCCTATAATTCATTCATGGGGCAATATGTACGTCATTACAACAAAGTGCCAAAAAATTACAAGGTCTCTCTATTACCAAGTTAAAATGTTTTATTAAAAAGAACTGTATGAAAAGGGTTAAAAAACTCAAAATTGAAGTTACAGCCTATATACGTCCCACTACTGGGCACAGGCCTCCTCTCAATTCTGAGAGGGTTTTAGGGCAAGGAAATGGGCGCCGCGCTGCCCTAATGTGGTTGAAGAACATCTCACGATGTTTTCCTTTCCGGAAATTAAAATTGCAGTTAACAATTTCATTGGTGCCGGCGGGGATCGAACCCGGGTTGCTCGCGTACTGTGAAATTTAGCGAGCGCTAACCATAAGAGCTATCACGGCTCCATAAAAAGGGTTATTATAATATAAATGAATACATGGGTGATAATAACCCCTGGGAATCAGTTGCAACCAAGCTGTTTCTAAAATAAATTTTGTAAATAGTGTGTCCCGTTGGATTTCTTTCTGGTTCTTTCCAGGACAGAGGTTTTTTCGTTACCAATGGTAATAGTAAAAAATTACTTTCAATAAGAATTACATGTAATCTTTATTAAATAAAAAGTTATTCTATTCTATAGCTTATTTTTCGTCTTTATCAGAAAAGTCCACTTCTGTATATGAAATTGTTTTGTTGTAAGGAGTTTTGACTTCTCTTGACAATTCAAACATGAGCATCTTTGACACTGCACTTAGTCGCCGGACTGTTTATCTCATCTGATGAAGACTGAATGGTTCTAACGGTATCTATCGAGAGATATTAGGTTTCTTTAGCATAACTTACTTACTAGTAAAAAGGTATTTATCTATTTACATTTTATCGAGGATAGTTGCAGGCGTCTATGGGCCACAGCATCCACTTACTATTTGTTATAGAATAAGGGTGACATACGAGCACACAGTCCACCTGATGGTAAGTGGATGCTGTGACCCACAGACATCGAAATTTATCCTCGATTAAGAATCAAAACGCCGAACCGTTGTCATCCATGAGGTCTAACTGGAATGCCTCGTTTCCAGTAAAAAACATTACTATCACTGTACGCTCGTTTATCGTCCTTATCAGTCTCTTATCATCAAATATTGTTCATAAATAGGGGATAACTAGACCCCATAGTCTTTTTAAGACAACTGAATTTAAACATTCCATGTCGGGGGGTCCATATGAACATCAACCACCACATATCATCCCATGAATTTTAACATTTGTAATCCATTACTTTATCATACCGTTGCAGTTAAAAGTTCACTGCTGATCTTATGCCTCCCATAAATTGCCTCATGTGGCAAATATGGCAATCCCCCCTGGATTGCCATATTTACCACGATAGGCACACGGGGTGACAATAGCGTCTTTTAATACCATCCAAAAAAATTTTTTGGATGGGATTAAAAGACGCTACTCCCAATCTAGTCCTAATTTGTTTACCTCTGTCACCTGTTACGTCATCCACGGAATGATATGGAGTAGTGGATATTCTAAGACCTCCACTACATGGTTAGTTTTATACTCGATAGAGCCATGCCGCTGCTATATCGTAGTTGTAGCACGAAGGAGTCGGCTTGACCGAGGAAGGACATTGCTCTTACAGAATACCACCGTAAAATAACATATTAATGCTACTGTGTTTCGTAAGGTGAGTGTTGAGAACCAGAAACCCTTTTTACTGGAAACGGGGCATTCCATCTTAGCCCTCAGGGGTGACAACGCATCTACAATTCTTGATTGAGGATAGATTGAGAATCGAAGAGACTGTGTGCTCGTTTATAATCCTTATTCTAAATTTAAAAAAAATTTAACAATTTATAATAAATGAATCATTTTAACTAACGTTTATAAATAAAACGTAACATCGGTAATTTTAATGCAGTTATTGTGGGATAACAGCGGAAGTCGCTATCGGCGGATGTTGCTATGTTTGAACACTGTTGTCACACGTGGCCCATCTGAGTAGCTTAGTCTGTGTCTGATAATGTTCAATTATATTATTAAGTCGTTTAAATACTCGGTTGAAAGTGTATTCGGCTTCAATCTCGCTAACCTTCACAAATTGAGTATTCTTTTATTACATCCTGAGAAAAGTCCATTTCTTTATTAAGTCGTTCAAATACTGGGTTGACAATGTAGTTTTTTTGCTGAATACAGGCCCCTACTAAAGATTTGCTCATTGGATTTGCTATAGTTGTCACGTTTGGATAT